AGGAAGGAAGGAAGGAAGGAAGGAAGGAAGGAAGGAAGGAAGGAAGGAAGGAAGGAAGGAAGGAAGGAAGGAAGGAGGCAAGAGTTTGTTTTTTTCCTTGTTGAGAACATAAGAACATATGCAGTACCCTTCTGGATCAGACCCTTGGCCCATGTAGTTTAGCATCTGTTCTCAGTGGCCAACCAACTGCTCAAGGAAGCCCTCTAGTCTCCCAGCAGATGGCCTTCAGAGGCAGTCACTTGGTCCAACCTTTCTTGAATACAGACAAGCTGGTAGCCAGCACCACATCTTGTGGTAAAGTTGGTAGCTAGCAGCACATTTCATGTGGTTTTAAATCTCTTTGATGCCTATTTTGGGGATTATGCTACAACTTGAGTGTTTCACAAAGAACTCTGCCACTATTTGCTACCATTGTGGTCCCAAGTGACTCTGCAGGGTGCAGAAATGGACTCTGAGCTGCATATTGCTCTCAGACCTTAGGTTTCCAACCTATGTGCTAAAAGGAGACACATTTGCAATGTACCTAGGCAATCTTACTCTACCTAAGTAAGCAAGTTCTGGATATTTTGCTACCGTTGGCACAAACAGAGGAAGCCTCCTGCAATAGCAGCCTAATCATGCAGGTCAAAGGGCCACCTACATCTTCCAGTTCTGTGCATTTCCATTTATTACAAGGTTGTTCCCTATTCAAGATAAGCTCAAGGGAATGCTTCTGGTTTTTGGAACCTTTACCAGATAAGTTGAATGTGTGCATTTTGACACTACTTCGCTTCTGGAGGCAATTTCAGAAATGCCTTCTTAGAGGGCCTCTTGGTCATCCTCATTGACTTGGATTATGACCTGAACTACTATGCCCCTCTCCCTTTACCCAAATTTATTTGGTTGGTTGGTTGGTTGGTTGGTTGGTTGGTTGGTTGGTTGGTTTGCTACAACTGCAAATCAGTGGCTGCAGGAAGAAAAAGAGGTATTTTTGATTTTTTTCCCTCTTTCACTTTTTTTTGATGTTACATTAGAGTTCTAATATCAACAGTTCTGGGAAAATAATTTTCCTATAGCAGATGCCTTTATTAAGGGCAACACTGTCCTTGAAAAATCAGATTTTCCAAGACTTCTGGTGCCTGGCATGTTATAATTGCTTTCCAGATATGAAGGGGGAAAGAAAGGAGAGAGAAAGACAGAGCTACATCAACCTCCATTCTGGAATAGAAGAGCGGAAGAAAAGAAAGAGGGGAGAATAATGATGACTGAATTTTGAGCAATGGCTATAACTGGCTGGGAATTCTGGGAATTGAACCAAATATCTGGAGGATCCTAAACTGGGAAACAGTCTGTTATAATCTTTGTTCATCCAAAACACAGACATGTAAGCAGTGCCAATTGTTCAGAACAAAAAGCTCTCCTTTGAATTCCATACACTATTTATTTATTAGATTTATATCTCATCTTTCATTCAGGAGCTCAGTTAACTGTAAGCCACCACACTTGTTGTAATTTGATTTCTTTCACTTAGGTCTACAACCATCCATTATGTTATTTTTAATCCCAATTTGTAGCAGCTTTTAACCTCACTGATTGCACGTCTTCAAGCTGTTAGGATAAAGAAGCTTCTTTTTCAGTCATGGCTAAAAGGATCATACAACTTGGGAAGAAGAAATTTACACCTGATTTGAAGCCTTGGATTGTTGATTGACACAGACTGTCAACACTTGAATTAGTCTTTTTGGAACAAAAACACATGAAAGAATCTTAGAGTAATATGGCCAAACGTGGAGTCTTATATGTAAGACACAAATACATTTTTATTTATTTTATTATACATTCAGTGCTTTATTATACTAAAATAACTAACAGGAAAAAATCTTAACAATATTACATAACTTCAAATTCAATAATCATGACAATAAAAGGCGACCTGGACATTTATTATAAGAACAGTGATGTTTAGTCAACTGATTGCTGGTCCAACTGTTTCTCCTCATTATTTTAAAAAACCTTTACATTAAAAAATGCTATTAATACTGCTCAAAAGTTGTTTTCATTCTCTTTGTTAAAAAAAAAAACTAATTCACATGTTAACATGACACCACATGACAATAATCACTCCAAAATAAAGTTCCTATTTCAATATCTTTCTTCCTTTCTCTGTCACAGATTGATTTTAAAGCCACTCAGTTAAACACAACAATGTACAAATAATTCATCCCAAGCCCAAATCACATCTGAATGATCAACCAATCCAAACAACAGAAGATCAATTATTTATACATGCATATGGACTTTAATTTGCTCTGAATATATAGCTGCTTTTGGGCAGAAAGAATTTGAAACAATAAGTTCCATCTACAGTATTATTTCTCTCCCTTTTTATGTAAATCTGTGTCATTTCTACATCTCAGTCTAATAACTGGATCGGAGCAATTATCAGTTATGCACTTCCTGGAAGTTTGCAACAGTCCTCAACTCAGAAGCCATATATACAAAAGCACAAATTAGCTGTATTTTTAAAAAAATATCTAGTAGAGAAAGTTGTGCAACACACACACACACACCCCAAACACTTAAGGGTGTTTAAGTCACATAACAAAGTAGAAATTAGTCAAAACAGACTTGAATATATGTAAAATTGACCTGGGATGGATTTGGACCGATTCATCCATTGCTAGCAGACGGCATTCGGTTGCTGTTAGAGATCAGTGAGTCACAAGGTGATGATATAAACATTCAAACTGAGTTAACCAAAGTCCATAATTTTAATGTATCTCCACCCTAAAATCACCTAGGATACACCCACTGTTGGGGTATAGTCCATGAATGCTCCACCTGCTTGTTACAACCTGGACACAGACAGAGATGTGCTGCCATAATAACGAAATGAGTTCTACCACAGACCCAGACAGAGAAAGCAAGATGTTTGACAGTTCATACAAAAACAGTTCCCTCCCCAAATAATAGCAATGACCTAATCGGGCACAAAAGCACAAAAATTTGAGAATGTAAAGGGATGGGAGACAGCAAATAGAACAGTCAGCAAGAAATGGTTTGCCTGCAAATACAGCAGATCAAAAACTCCTCCACTGATTAAATAACGTCTTCCTAAAATATACAGTTTTAATCTCCAGTTGATTGAATTGGTGTAATCTTATCTTCAAGACTGGCTTAGATTGTATATATGCACAAGCGTGCATAGCAATAGTGTTTTTACTTCTCAAGAAATGTTCTTATCCCAGCTTCTGATAATTATTGTTTACTCACCTTGAACCAAACCAATCAGATCTTATAGCCTAGACCTTTCTCTTCTACCTTTCCATGACTCATAGCTCCATGCCCCAAATAGCCATGGTTGGCTTACTTCCTGAATTTGTCCAGGGCAATACATCTATTCCCAGTGACTATCACTGCAACTGAGGGGTTCTTTTATTCACCAGCAGGTTCATTGGAACTAGCAAAGTCAGTATCCCTGATCAGTTGGAGGAACATATGGTACCCTCTCTTACATTTTTGGCAGTAGAGTATTCCATTCAGTGAACCAGTATATAAATGCCAGGGCAGGCAGGAACACCCACTGATGATACAGGTTTGCGTGCAACGACTATCAGTGGAACTTTCTATTTAAAACCTGATTAGGTGAGCTAATGCTCTACTTCTATGAAATCATGGTCTGGATGTCCTTAAGCCAGTGCTATTTGTATTAAGATGAGGATTAACCCAGGTTTCTCCCAGCCCCTGGTTTTCTGCAGAAAAATCAAACATTAGTGGGAAAAAAGGGCCTTAAGCAGAAATTTCCCTTATTTTCCAGCACTTCCATGACTAGAATCTTGGCTTTATCAGTGAAGATTCTCTTCTGTTCTTCCTTTTCTATTCCTTTATCTCCCTGTGATGCCATTTCATGTCATTATCTCCTTGTGGTGCAGTTTCATGTTGTTCTATATTTCTGTGATGCCATTTCATAAATAATAAACACTGGGTTTTTTATTCAACATTTTCTTTGCTCTCACTCTCCCACCATCCTATCAGGCCTGAGTCAAGGAATAAAGAAAGCAGAGAACCGAGTATAGATGTACCCAGTTCAGAAATGGTCGTTCACAGGCCAGAAGAATGCACTGCTCCAAAATTTCAGACAGGAGACGTGAGGGACTGTACCTGGGGAATTTTCCTATGTGTGAAGCGTATGTGCTAAAATGAACTTTGCACCTTTCTTTAACAACAGTTTAAGGATAAGAGTTCAGTAGGGGTCCTGTTCAAGCGTTAGCCTCCAACATATTATAAGAAGTGCATTTCCTTCATTTATATATCACGCTGGGGATCAAGCAGAGTTGTGTCACAGTCCAAACGTGGAGAAAATATGGTTTAGAGTGCACGAGGGGACCATGTCACACCAGTCAACAATTCCTTACAGCTGTGTCTTTTTCTGGGCTCACACAACTGCCACTGTGCAATTTCAGGAAAAGACTTGTTTTATTTAAAAAGGTGCTAATGTACAGGCCCATCAGGACTCCATATCGTCTTTTCCCCATCAAACCTGGATCACTGGAATAATTGGCGTGCAAAAGTAGGGTCAATTGCTCTTATGGAAAAAGAGACTGCTAAGATTTGAATACTGATTCTCAGAGGGCTGGATCACATTTTTATCAGATCTGGAAAGATTGTATGTTATGCTAATAATAATAAATCTATTGATAAATTGAGTGTTACATGTAACCTATGACTGAAAGTTAACATGCTATTGTTCTCTGTTATCTTGAATTCCTGTTACTTCTTGCCTTACAGAATATTAAAAATGGGAAAATGGAAAAAAAAATCTGGATCCCTGCACGGTACTCCTACCAAGCATGCTGTTTGAGTCCCCAGTCTTGCCAGGTTGAGCAATAAGATCTAAGGAAATGCTAGATCAAAATCTATCTTAAACTTTTTCCAGAAGTATTCTTCCCCAATAAAAAAAAGCCTTGGTTTTTCTAAGTCATTCTTGGGGGCTTTTACTCAATTGAGTTTTTGTTTGTTTGTTTTAATTACTGAAGGATGTAGAAGACATTACTGAAGGTGATTTTTGAGTTCCATGATTATGACGCTTCTCTAGCTGCCGCCATTTCTCAGGCTGTCCAAGCCCCATGCCCCTCCCTTGGGACTAAATTGGGATGTGGGGAACCAAAGTGGCTGTAGTCTGTTAGAGATTGAGCAATAAAAGGGAGGGTATTTGCATATAATCCTTGGCCCTTTGATTTCTGTAAAAGTGAAATGCACCCTGCATTCAACTCATAAGTGCACCAAAATCATCTTGAGAGAAGCTGAGAAAGCACATTCTGTTTCATGAAATTGAAGGAGAATTGATGCAAGGAAAGGCAGGATAATTTTTCTGCATATTCCTAGTCTGAGGGAGGAAGAGGGAGGGGGTCTTTTCTAGTTGCAGTTGCAAGTAGAACTGCATGATCCAATTACATCAATGGATAATAATCTCAGTGGCATTGCCTCACATAAAGCATCATCAACTTCATTCTGCCATAAATTGGTACTTATGGCTTTCATTTTGCACCAATTGAATGAAATAGAACTATTAGTAACAACAAGCCAGTTGCAAAGTGCCTGAATCTCAATCACATGACCGCAGGGACACTGCAATGGTTGTAAATGCAAGGAATGGTTGTAAAGTTACTTTTTCAGTGCCGTCATAACTTTGAATGGTTGCTAAACAGGGTAGTCATTAAGTGAGCACTACCTGTAGCACAGATTGGCTATAATTCCCAAACCTGGCATGGATGATTCTCTTTGTGGAAATGCCTTATAGATCATACAATATGAACAGCTCCATAGAGACTCTAGTACAAGAACTGATAATATCATCCTTATCCATTTCCCATGATCTCCAAGGCCGGAATATTGCCCTCATTTCAGTTGCATCACCATGCCTAGACTTGCATGCCTCACAAGGACAGAGCAATCCACTCCAAGGGGTAAAAAGATCAAAGCATCCTAGTTCCCTTGTAAACTGGCAAGTTCATAAAAAGTCAGTTTCTAGTGCTTCCTGGTCTCTTTCACAATAGGAAGAGCAGAGCTGCATCTGGAACTCCTTCACAGCTGCTGGGACTCTACCATTTAAACAGGAGGCACTGAGTCTCTCAGCTGCTTCTTTGCAGCAATTTCTCTCTCTCTCTCTCTCTCCCCTCCCCTCCCCCCAAGCTTTTATTGCTGTTTCATGAAGTAGCAGCTTCAAGCTCCTTATGAGAAACTCCTGATCTTTGGGCACTTCTTGTTTCTCTTGCTATTTGGGCACACCCGTGACCAGGGATATTTAGAGCTGGATATGCCCCTGTTAGGAAAAGAGCCTTAGGATTCCAGCCAGTTTGTCATCGTTTTGAGTCTGCCCCTAAAAGAGTAAAAGTTCAGGGGTCAGGCCACAGCAGCCAGAAAGGAAAGCGGCTTTGCCATTTATCTCCTCTTTATTATTCCTCAGATTGCACCTTCCTTGTCGGAGCCTCATTCATGCATTGCTCGGCCAGTCTTTCATTTTCTCCATGCAGGATTTATGGGCTGCTCAAAAGTCCGCTGCAATAAATTACACAGCAGAGAAGCCAAAATCCGTCCCCTGATCTGGCTCCAACCATCCCAAGTAATGTATAAATAATGAGTCTGCCATCTAACGTAAGCAAAAGAAGTTCATGGCACCGTTCATTGTAGTTAGTTGCACAATAACCTTTCGGCACTCATCATGGTGGCATTTTGCAACCCAAAAGTGGCTAGAGCTGTGTGCCAAATGTGTGTACTTTAACTCTACTCTTGCTCTTCAAAGGTTTTTCTCCCCGTGTTCCTTGAATAATTTGCCTGATGAATTTTCAGTGTTTGTATTTATTCCCTACTCGGTTTGGTTATTATTTCTCCATTATGTCTGGAATAACGTTGAACCTCTTTTAGAGAGGAAGCGGGGGGCGTTTACACAGCAACATCTCACTTCAGGTCTTAAGGTGGGCTCAACCCTGAGCAATTGTGTTAAGAATGATTAGGAAAATGCAGTTGTATTCTCTGGGATGAGAGTTTATGAATCCTGGTCTCTTGCTTATGGAACACATTGCTATCAATTATTATTTGAAGGCATGCATGTTCCTTGTAATGATATCTTTGGTCTGTAAACCACTGGAAGTTTGTACAGTACATGCATTGCCGGTAAATATAAATCTTTTCTCCACTGTCTTTAAAGTAATGTTTCTTAGCAGCATTTTAAAAACTTAAGGAAGGCCTCCATATAACCAGAATGGACTGATTTCTTTCCTCCCTTAATACTATTATTTTCCCTCAAACTGCTTTAATCCTTTTCATAGTGGAGGAAGGGAGCCTATTGATATAGTAATATTTGCCACACCCTATCTAGAATGAGAGTGTATATTTTCCTGCAATGTTTAAAGTGATCATCATGCAAATCTGGTTTTGTTTAAACCTTAAACAGAATTTTGAAAGAACAAAATTTGGTTTCTTTTTTTTAAAAAAAGTGGCAGGGGAGAAGTTAACCTTTCAACATTGATTATAAGAGAAGGAAAGTCAGGTGATAAAATTTGGGGGTGGGGGAAATGGGTCTTTCAAAATGTTAAGCAGGACAGCTTAACTTAGAAGAGTTCTGGAAGTGGTAGAGAAATTCATGGAGATAGGTCTGGGAAGCTTTTAACTGCAATATGGAATCATAACTTTATTTAGAAGCTGTGTATGTGGGGGAATCAGATGCTAGAAATGGAGAATGACTA